TGCTCGCACTCCTGTTCCTCCTCCTCCTCCTCCTCCTCCTCCTCCTCCTCCTCCTCCTCCTCCTGACCCTCCTCCTCCTCCTCCTCCTCCTGACCCTCCTCCTCCTCCTCCTCTCCTCCTCCTCCTCCTCCTCCTGACCCTCCTCCTCCTTCTCCGCCTCCTCCTCCTCCTCCCGCCCCCCCAATCCCCATCGTCCTCCAATTCCTCCCCCTTCCTCGCTCCTTCCTTCTCTCCCCGCCTCCGTCCGACTCCCACTCCTCCACAATTACTCCATATGAATACTAGCCCCCCCATCTTCCCTGACCCTGTCTGGAAGATGCTCCGCCCTCTCCGCGTACTGCGTCTACGCCTGAAAGATTGGGCCTAATTTGCTTCACGTTTTTGCACTATCCGATTGCATCAGTGTTTCAAAGTGGTGTTCCCCCTGAAGCGTGGGCATCATTTTTCAAATCGGCATGTTACTCCCGTCGTTCAGACCAGTTCTCTCGCCACAGCGCGGGGCACAATTCTGGGTCCATATGTTTCATAGTTTGTCGTCCCACATATTTCTCGTCCTCCGGGGCGTTCCCCTGATCCTCCTGCCCTTCCCGCTAGTTCATATCCAGCTCATGTTGCTAATGTCCGTCCTCATCCTCGTCTTTCCTCATCCTCCTCCTTTTCCTCCTGCTCATCCTCCTGCTCGGCCGCAACCTCCTCCCCGTCCTCGTATGTAAGCAATTCTCTTTTTCCCAATTGCGCATAACACGATGAAGTCGTTCTGGAACTCCAGATTGGCTAGAACACACGGCTGCTGGTAGAAAGACAATCAGCGCAAATGGGCAGAGCTTGGAGGGAGGGGTCGGATGCCAAATGGGCTCGCGAACGCACCTAGCTTGTCTTTCCCCCTCGCCTCGTCCCCCTTGCCATGCTCCGCCCTCCTCGTCTGCCACCCGCGCGCGCGCGCAGGCGCACGGAGGGGAGGAATTTGGGGATGATGGAGGAAGAAGGGGGGAGAAAGAGGAGGAAGACGGGTAGTGGCCGCAGAGAGGAGGGTCCGAGAAGGTCAGATGCGTGTGTGCTACGTTGAGGCCGTGCGCGGAGGCATATAAACATACGTATGCCTTTACATGTGTGTCCGTGTATACACACACATAACAATAAAGATACACGGAACGGTAACAGTTGCGTGTGCGTGTGTTGTGTACATGTGTGTCTGGGCCAATTGACCCAGCGAAGCGCCTGAAAAGCAGCTTCAGTGGAAGGGTCGAGGAGTGGGGAATCTGCGAGTGAAACTATGCACTCCTGAGCATGCCTCGGGACCCCTGTGTTCAATAATTGCGTCAGACGCACACACGCAAGAAGTGGCGCTCTGGACACACGAAGAACCAGAATAGCGTTAATCAGGCTGTGCCTCATGTTGTGTGAGAACGGCCTGCGGTGGTGGAATTCTGGCAGCACGAAGTAGGGGACCAGACTCTTTTCACCGACATTTTCTACGGCCCCGCACTGAAATCCGCACAAGAAACCGGATCCGGGTGTTTTCGGGATCCTGGTGTATACATGTTTCGTTGCTTTCACGGGAAAACGGGGAACATACACCACACCACTCCGACGTCGTCCCCGACCCTCACAAAGAGTTCTGGGACTGAACAGCAGCCCGCCACCGGCAATGTATACGCTCCAGTTTCCGACGGAGGGCAGGACGAGCGCGCCCGTGCGCGCGGCGAACCGCCGCGCGCGGCGCCGCGCCGACAGCGCGGGCCTGCGGCCCTCGGCCTGGAGCTGCCGCAGCCAGGCCGTCGGCCCTCGAGGCCCCCTCGGCTCGGTGACCTGCTGGGCCGGCGGCCCAACGAGACCTTCGGCTCGGAGTGCGAGTCGGCAGCGGCAGCCTCGAACCGCCGGCCTCCGCCACGGGGCGCGGCCCCCCATCGATGGGGCAGGGCGCTGGCTGCGCGCGCGGCGAAGTGGAGGGTCCGCGCGTTCAGGGAGGCGAGGGCGGGACTCGAGCTCGCTGGGGAATGATCCCGATGCCCCTTGCGCGTATACACGTCGAGGGCGCCAGCGGAACACAGCGAGCGCGCGCGGATCTTCTCTCCCGGGCGCTGGCGCGCCGCGTCGCTGTGCGCGACGTCGCGCGCGCAGGCCCGCGGCCCTCGAGCAGTAGGCCCCGAGATGCCGCAACCGGGCCATGGGCCCTCGAGCCCCCTCGGCTCGGTGACGCAGGCCCTGGGGGCGGCCCCGCATCGAGGGGGCAGGGCGCTGGCGCCGCGCACGGTGAAGCGAAGGCCTCCGCAAGGCTTGTAGCTTGTGGCTGGCGCTGCCAGCTCCGTCCCGAGAGCCTCGCCGATCCTCACCGCCGGGGGCCTTCCAGGACCGCTCGCCGCCGGCGCCGACGACGGCCTCCGCGCGGCTGCCCCGTGCGGCAGCGGCCGGCTGCCGGGGCGGGCGGCGGGAAGGCAGGCGGAGGCAGCGGCGGCCCCCGAGCCCGAGCGCGCAGGGCCGCCGGCTTGTCGCGCAGGCCGCCCCTCGCGCCAAGACCAGCGAGCACGACGCCGGCAGGCACCTTCGGCCCCCTTGGCACCGGACGGGCTGCCAGCGGTTCCGGGGCCCGGCCGGTCAGAGGGGCCGCGCCCGCGGGCAGGCTCAACCCCTGCGGCCGGGACAAGCGGAACCCGCAAGGCCGTCGCGAGGTTGAAGTTCCAGCTCCCGCCGTGGAGCAGCTCGTGGTTGGGTTCGCTCCTCGTGCAGTCGCCGGAGCGCACAATGCAGGAAGGCTGCCACGGAGGACGCTCTGCTGCGAACATCGGGTGCAGGTCGATCTCATCCTCCACGCTTTCGCTCCCCACGTGCGTGGCCGAGTACCTGGAGCCGTGCCGGACGTCGTGGGCCTGCTCGCGGTCCATGCGGAACCGCGCACGGCCGCGGGCGGCGAAGAGCTCGACGAGATCCCCCTCCGAAGGGAAGACCTCGTCAACGCCCCCTCGAATAGACCTTGGCGAGATCACGTGCCGGGGGCTCGGCCGCACGAGGGGCAGGTGCACCTCCGCGGCCGTGCGCTCCCGCCTCGCGTGCCACGCGGCAACTTGGCAGCCGCGCGCCCCTCGGGGAGGAGGCCCACCCTCTCCGCCCGGGTTGCCGCCGCGTGGCGCTGCACGCGGCGCGGAGCAGGGCGCGCCCGCGCAGGGGGCTCGGGCAGCAGCGGGGCGCTGGCCGGCGCCCCATCCGCGACGACAGTCCCCGCAGGCTGCTGGTGAGCTGCCGAGGCGCTGCTGCGCCCTCGAGCCCTGGGCAGGCTGTCGATCGCGCGCGCGCGTGGGCAGCGCGTGCAGCGCGCCGACGCACCGCCCGTGGCTCGAAACAGCTACGAGACAATCCTGATGCTGCTCGTGCGCTGCACGTCGAGGGCGGCAGCTTGGTGGCCGGGCAGCCGACGCGACTCGCAGCACACATCCGAGGGTCCGAGCCCCGCATGCAGCCGCAGCCGCAGCAGCGGGAGGAGGAGGAGGAGGAGGAGGAGGAGGAGGAGGAGGAGGAGGAGGAGGAGACAGGAAGCCGGAGGACAGAGCAGGAGGATATACCAGCTGCTCTCTCCGTTGCGGCCTGAAGCCAAGCTCCGCCACGCGCCGCCGAAGCCTCGGCATGGCCTCCGCGTGCAGCTTGCCGCTGATGCGCCGCACGTGGCTCAAGGCCAGCACCTCGCGCGGCTGCGGCCGCGCAGCGGGGGAAGGGGAGGGGGAGGGGAGGGGGAGAGGAAGGGGAGGGGAGGGAAGGGGAAGGCAAGGAGGGAGAGAAAGAGAGAGAGAGAGAGACAGAGAGGGAGGGCGAGGAGGAGGAGCAGGAGGACAGAGGAGGAGGAGGAGAAGGAGGAGGAAGAGGAGGATCATCCCCCTTGAACTCCTCGACCTACTTATTCTCCTCTTCCTCCTCCACAATTACAGAACATGAATACTACTCTCCCTCCTCCCCTCAAGTCGTCCCGCCCCCTCCGCGTGGTTCTCACATATCGGATTTCAGAAGCTGATGTTTTGCTTGTGGTGTTTTATAACCCGGTGGCGTTCGGTGTTTCCAAATGGTGTTCCCGCTGCAGCGTGGGCCTCATTTTCGGATCGGCGCTTAGCCTCCCTCGTCCAGAATGGCGCTCTCGCCTCAGCGCGGGCCAGTTTTCCGGATCCGAGTCTTGAGTCAGTTCTGTCGCCCCCCTTACTTCCCCTCCTCCGCCTTCCCCTGGTCCTCCTGTTCCTCTCGCTCCTTCCAGTCCAGTTCCTGCTGCTGCTGTTCATTTCGCCCAAGCTCAGACCACTTTTCTGAATCTGAGTCGTTCTCCATCGTCGTCGCCCACCTCATTTCCCTTCCTCCGCATTCCCCCCGTCCTCCTGTTGATCCCGATCCTTCCGCTTCAATTCCTGCTGCTGCTGCTGCTGCTGCTGCTGTTCGTCCTCGTCCCTGTCCTCCCGCTCACCCTCCTGCTCAGCCGCCACCTCCTCCTCCTCCTCCTCCTCCTCCTCCTCCTCCTCCTCCTCTTCCTCCTCCTCCTACTCCTCCTCCTCCTGTGCACGCAGCTCCCCTATTCCTGAATGCGCATGACACGATAGGGTCGTTACGTGGGAGTTGCAGGTCGGCTATGACACGCGTCCGCGGATATAGATCAAATCAGCGCCGTGGAAATGGGGGGAGGGAGGGGCAGGATGTCAGATGAGGCACGAACGCTCCAAGCTTGTCCTACGTAATCCTCCTCCTCCTCCTCCTCCTCCTCCTCCTCCTCCTCCTCCTCCTCCTCCTCTTCCTCCTCCTCCTCCTCCTCCTCCTCTTCCTTGCGCCAGGGAGCCCAAGTTGCACTGGTTGCTTCCGTTTCCGATGTGGTGCCTGTACGAGCGAGCGGTGCTTCGGGTTGGCTGCTCGGTGCGCCGGAGAGCCTGGACCGCGTGGCAGAGGCGCTCTCAAGCGAATTCGCCAGGGTCTCCATCCCCACTGCAGATCTGAGGAAGCTGTTGCTGCCGTCTCTGGCACCGCGTGTCGTGCCTCGGCCAAGCTTGTGCTGCTGCCAGCAGCGCCCTCTGGCCTCGCCTCCTCGCCTGCCAGCGTGCGCCTGGTCCCAACACCTGGGACGGAGGCGCCGGCTGCTCGCACCAGGCAGCGCGAGGAGGCAGATGGAGCCACACCAGCACGCCGTCAGGGCTGGCGTGCTTTGTCTTTGGTGTGTTCTGCCTTGGGGCCTCCGATGGAACCAAAAAACTCCTCCTCCCTTCTTCGCTCCACTCTCAGTCCGTTATGTAGCCATGCCGGCTCAAGCTGCTCACCAGCGAGCGACAGCCCTGCTGCTCAAACTGGTCCGACATGCTCCCCCAGGCCTGACGCTGCAGGAGGCGATCGCTGGGCTTGAGAGGATGGTGCGGGCAATGCGCGTCCAGCTCCAGATCGTCGCTGTGCTGCTGAACGCAAGGCCCGCCGGGACTGGGAGCGCACAGCGGCTGACGGGGCCGTCCTCGAGCTGCCAGCCGAGGTTGCCCGCCTGAACGGCCTGCTTGTCGAGCTGTCAGCGGGCGCTGGGGGTGCATGGTGTAGCGGACGAGGTGGACAACAAGAAAGGCTTGTTTTCCCCCCCACCACCACCACCAGAAGTTGGAGGGGGAAAGGAGGTGGAGGAGGAGGAGGAGGACGACGAAGAGGAGGAGGTGGAGGAGGAGGAGGAGGAGGTTGAGGAGGAGGAGGAGGACCCCGTCCTCCTCCAACTCATGGTGGTGGTGGTGGTGGAAAACAAGCCCATCACAATAGGCTTCTGGCGGCGACGCCCGCCGTTTCCGCCTTGCTGGCGGGGCGGCCACCAGATGACCTCGACGTCCTCCGGCGCAGCACCGCGCTCCATGCGGCGGCCAAGAGGGACGATCTGCTGCGGCCGACCCCATCGCGCCCTCCACCGTGTGCCGCGATGCTGGGGGGCCTGGTAGGCCTGCGGTGAGCTGTCGGGCCCGCGGGCGCGGGGGGCAGAAGCATCGACATCCCCGAGGATGTGGAGTCCGCCTTCGCAACGTGTCAGGCCGAGGTTGAGGGAACCGTGAGCGGCGCGGTCGCAACCTACGAGGAACGGACGCTGGGCCACATGGTGCCCACTGCTGGGAAGAGACACAGCATTCCGCACTACACCCAGGAGCTGAAGGGGCAAGATGAGGATGTCGACGAGCTGCCTTCTGAGCGTGCCTCCACCGACTCTTCGCTCGACGGTTTCGAGCACCGCGCGGAGGAGGCAGTCGGCACAATATATATATATATATATACATATATATATATATATACATACGCATCCCGCCGTGGGGACCCACCTCCCTAGAGCGCAGGGCTCTACGGCTTGGGCTGGTCCCACGTTCTATGCCCCCTGCAGCGCGGGCTCGAGCGGTTATCGCTCCTCTCCGCCGCGGTTCACTGGTCGCGGCAAACGACGTGTGCGATCGGGGATCTGTTCACCCGGGTCAATCCAGCCCTGGGTCAGTCAGGCCTTGCAGAATCCTGCAAGATCCTGCACCCAAACCCTGGTCAATGCGAAGGATCCTGCAACATCCTGCAGGATCCTGCACCCAAGCCCGGGTCAATGCGACCCTGTCCCTGCAGGATCCTGCAAGATCTGGCGCTCTGGCTGACCCCCGTTTGCAGCGACCCCCGTCTCAAGGCTCGCGAGACGCGTGCGACCTGGCGCGTTTCCGTCCGGGCACAGAGCCGATCGGTCTCTATGCCTGGGCTTAGGTCGGGCGTGTCCCCCTACAGGGGGATGTTCGACGAGAAATAAGAAATAGCCCAAAATGCTCCAAAATGGCAAAACAAATAAAAAAATAGTCCCCTGATTTTTGGGGGGCTATTTTTGAACCTCCCCTCTGTAGAGGGACACGCCCGACTTGAGCCCGGGCCCCGACCGCACCTCGCTGCTCTGCCCGTGCTCGCCCCGCCCCCCCACGGTGCCGCCGCTCGCCCCGTGACGTGCAGCTCTTCCGGGCTCTCCCGCTGCAGCGGGGACCAGGCCTTCCGCAAGAAGCCCAACCCCGAGACCCCTCCAGCTCCTCCTCCTCCTCCTCCTCCTCCTCCTCCTCCTCCTCCTCCTCCTCCTCCTCCCCGTCCTCCTCCTCCTCCCCGTCCTCCTCGTCCTCTTCCTCCTCCTCCTCCTCCTCCTCCTCCTCCTCCTCCTCCTCCTCCTCCTCTCCTCCTCCTCCCCGTCCTTCTCCTCCTCCTCCCCGTCCTCCTCCTCCTCCTCCTCCTCCTTCTCCTCCCCCTCCTTCTCCTCCCCCTCCTCCTCCACCAATAGGAGCTCGACCACAAGAAGCCTTCCACAAGAAACCCAACCCCGAGACCCCAGGACGGCCATTGTTTGTTGGTGTGGGAACGGCACGCTTGCCTAGAGGCCTCCTGGATGGGGTCGGAGTAGATGTGGTCAGAGGATCGCGCCGCATCGCCGATGCGTTGGCGATGTATCGGCGATGCATCGGCGATGCACCGGCAACGTCGGCGATGCACCGGCGACGTGGGCGTGGAGAAACT